GCATTGGCACAGATTCCTCTCAACTTCAGCAGCAGATATATGAATAGGATGCCTCCTCAGCCTGGACCCACTGCAACTCAATCTCTAGGAATCATTTCATTTTCGGCTTTCTGTTTTACTTTTTGGCTCCAGAAAATCCTCTCATTTGTCTGCACCAGCAACACATCGTAGATCGTACGTTAGATATTTGTTTAGTTTCGAGGTATATCCATCGTAGGCCCTTGAACTTATCGCGTGGTGCCACTTAGGTCCTCAAACTCTTAAATCGGACTTCTACGGCACCCTAATGTTGTTTAAATATGCCACTTAGGTCCATAACTCATCGGATCAAGCTTTTTGCCGATGTGGCGTGGACAGAGCGCGCATGAGCCGCGCGTGAGCCTAGTTTGAGACGTGCAAATAAGCAGAGAGGCCCCCCAGTTCTTTTCATTTCCTCCATTTCCCCTTCCTTCACCTCTTCCCTTCTCTGTCTGTCTCTCTGCCCAAACTCCAAGCCGACGCCGCTGCCGCCGATGCCTTGTGGATCTACTCCATGGCGCCACCAGGGAGCTCATCGTGCTCCAATAGGCGTGCGGGCGGCCTTCCCCTCATCCTGTGCACCGAATGCAGCGGTCGAATGGTGGTGAGGCGCGTTTCTACGCAGCCATGGAGTGCAGAGAAGGTATTCTACTGTTGCCCAGACCATAAGGTGAGTTAGGGTTTGATGATTCAAATCTTTGGCACTTGGATTGCTATGTCCTTGTTGCAATTGAGTTTGATTTGGTTATTTTGGCAGAGGGATGGCAGCGGGTGTCCATTTTTCTACTGGGAAGCAGACTACATCAAGCACATCTTAAAGATATTGAAGGAGAATCAAACATACGTCCCTATGCTGGCCTGATGGACAATGCAGTGGCCAACAAAGCTCAAGGAAATCAAGGGAAGGACCAAGACGTAGTTCATTTGCTGAATGTGATGTGTGTTCTCTGTGTGTGTATAGTGTTGGCACTTGTGTTCGTTGTGGTTGTTCAATTGTGCAAATAAACTCAGTCACAACTGTGTAAGAGTACTCATTGTGTAATGTGAACATCAGAAGCAATGGAAACCATCCTTTTTATCTCAATTTTCCATCTATTTCATAGTTCACCTGATAGCAGTAATAGCATCCATGTGCACATACAATGTTTTGGTCAGTGATTCATGTGATGATCTAAACAAAAGACTATTGCCACCATCTCAAACAATGTTCTAGGGCCATGATAAGCTTTACAAAAGATTGTACAGCACAATCTAAAGCCTTATGCTGGTGCTGAACAAAAGCACAGGAGGACTACACTAAAGCACAGAAGGACTTGTCATCTTCTACTACTTGTCTATAGACTTTGGAGATGAGGTGTTCTTCTTCTGCTGACCTTTGGACTTGTCACCCTGCTTGGCACTTCTCTTAGATCCTGTTGACCTCCCCAGCTTTGATGCAGTTGTAGGTGGCAGTGGTCTTGTGGTTGGCAGGTTTGTTCCAATAAATGCAGAGGCTGGCATGGGTTCCTATTGCCTCACCATGCTGCTGGTCTGTGAAGACTGAGAAAACAAGTGTTTGTTAAAGAGGCCTCTTTGTTAAATGTGAAAATAGTAGTTGTTAAAGCATAGTGTCGTACCTCTTCTTCTAGCTGTGAAAGCATAGTGTTTGTTAACTGTGACTGTAGTGGTGTGTTGGTTTCTGGAAAATGAATGGCAACCTGCAAGCATAGACAGTTAGGTGTGCAAGCATAGTGTAAAATTGGTGTATTGTGAGTAAAATATTTGGTCAGTCCATACTACCTGTGTAATCACTGGTTCTTCATCTAAGTTGTCATCCATTTGCTGTGTAGGGTCCTCTTCTTGTGCTTCTTCCATAGTTTTCCTCAGAGGCTGCAGTTTGGGCCTTATTCCTGACTTCCTTAACTGACAGCCTGCTCTGTTGTGGCCTTGATCCCCACAGTAGCTACAAGTCATTTGCATTCCATGCTTTGACATTTTTGTTCCACTAGTTCCTTCTAATTCCACTGGTTCTTTCTTTCTATTCTTAGGAGGTCTGCGCACCTTCTTTTCGTACAGAGGAGGAAGCACAATAGGAAGTCCTTGGACCTTCTCCCAAATGGACTTGTTAGCACATGGATAGATCTTGGGACCATATGCAATCAGAAATCTTACTGAAGTATAGCAGTCATGGACCATTGTTTCAGTGGGTATCCTTTCATGCCTTAGGCAAGAAATGGCATGTGAACAAGGTATACCAGTGAGATCCCACCTTCTACAGTCACATTGTTTCAGCCCAATGTTAACTACTAACTGATACTGCCTATCCTGCACCTGAAATATACCATGTCCAGAAGGTGCTGCAAAACAAGTGTTGGCAAACTCTGAATTCTTCTAAACTTTCTTCCTAATCTTCGGGCAGATTGGTCCCTGCCACACTTGTCCAACCTCTTTCTCCTTGCTGTAGTACCTACTCATCAGTTGGCCCTTGATGTGCTCCAACATACCGAGAATTGGTATTTCTCTAGCATCCAAGATATAGTTGTTGAAAACCTCACAGCTATTGTTCAAAAGTATGTCACACTTGCTGTAAGTGCTAAAAAATGCCCTCACCCAAGTGTTTGGAACCATCCTTTCTAGCCACTCATATGCCTTCTAGTTTAGTGCCCTCATTTTTTCCATGTTTCTATTCCATTGATCCACAGTGGTGGACCTAGCACATTTCCAAAGTTGTATCTTCATGTTCTCACCTTTGAAGTGCTGCTGGAAGTTGTTGTACAAATGTCTAACACAGAATCTATGCTCAGCTTCAGGGAATACTTTGCTGCATGCTGGAATGAGACCCTGCACACAGTGAAAAATTGAATTAGGTCTAGAACATCAGGTAAATAACAATAAGATTTACTATAACAGCAATGAATCATCAAGTTCTCACCTTTTGTTTGTCTGTCATAAGTGTCCATGGATATGTGTTTTCAATGCCAAGGTCTGCCTTCAAAGTTTCTAAGAACCATTTCCAAGTTGCTAGTTACTCAACTTCAACAATTGTTAGAGCTATTGGATAAATACAATCATTAGGATCAATATCTACAGCTATCAGCATTATCCCCCCATATTTGGTTTTCAAGTGACATCCATCCAAACATATTAAAGGTCTACAACCCTCATGGAAACCCCTCTTGCAAGCATCAAGTGACATATAAAGTAAGGTAAAAAGATTACCATTAAGGTTCAGAAACAATGTGCTCCATAGATTGGTCCTTCTTGCGGTGTAGGTTTGATTCTCCTTCGGACTGGGCTCCACATGTGCCATTGTCGCCTTCCTTCAACTTCTTTAAGATGTGCTTGATGTAGTATGCTTCCTAGTAGAAAAATGGACACCCGCTGCCATCCCTCTGCCAAAATAACCAAATCAAACTCAATTGCAACAAGGACACAGCAATCCAAGTGCCAAAGATTTGAATCATCAAACCCTAATTCACCTTATGGTCTGGGCAACAGTAGAATACCTTCCCTGCACTCCATGGCTGCATGGAAACGCGCCTCACCACCATTCGACCGCCGCATTCGGTGCACAGAATGAGGGGAAGGCCGTCCGCACGCCTATTGGAGCACGACGAGCTCCCTAGTGGAGCCATGGAGTAGATTCACAAGGCGGCGGTGGCTTGGAGTTCGGGCAGAGAGACAGACAGAGAAGGGAAGAGGTGAAGGAAGGGGAAATGGAGGAAATAAAAAAAACTGGGGGGCCTCTCTGCTTATTTGCACGCCCCAAACCAGGCTCACGCGCGGCTCACGTGTGCTCTGTCCACGCCACGTCGGCAAAAAACTTGATCCGATGAGTTATGGACCTAAGTGACATACTTAAACAACATTAGGGTGCCAGAAGTCCGATTTGAGAGTTTGGGACCTAAGTGGCACCACGCGACAAGTTCAAGGGCCTACGATGCATATACCTCTTTAGTTTTTGTATAGGCCCTGATAAAGCAAACCTGACCAATCACCAAGAACAGTGCCTCTCAAGGACAAGATTGCAAGCGACAGCTGCCCCTCTTCGCTTCTCTTATAATCCATCTTTTTTCACCTTATTTTTTTAGCCGGAACAGTATTTTTCTCTCACAACAAATCGGAACAGTATTTCGGCTTGTTTTTTTACGAAGCGAACGGGGCCTTATCTCATTCATTCTAGAGCACCTAGTGCTTTCTCCATTTATTTCAATTTCAATTCGAGCACTGGTTTATGCATCTCTTTATATTGGAGAAAGGTGCAATTGATCGTATGTATGCAGCAATAAATCTCTCCCTGAACACCTCACCATACAATAATTTATCTCATAAATCATCATTCACCTTTAATTTAACCCTTTTTTTAGCTGCATGGTCGACATTCATCTTTAGTCCTAGCAAGTAGTAACCAATGAACAAGGGTCTAGCATTGTACTCTTGTCAAATGCGGGCACACATCATACTCAAAATGAGACAGCATGCTTATGATGCAATTAGGAACATGTCGTTATCTGTCTCAAATCCTGGCAGATCAAAAAAAAAAAAAAGCAAACCCACTCGTAAAACAATGAAGAAAAAGATCAGTGTCACAATACTATATTGAACAAAAAGATCAAAGTGCCACAATACTGCTAATGCTGTTGGAGTTGGGCCAACACTAGCTCTAGTACTTGTGTACAGTTTTCTTCCCTGACTAGGATGCCACTCCAGGTTGGACCATCGATATAAAAGCTTCGGCAGGTACAGCTAACAAGTAGCACACATTTTAGTACCTGAATCCTATGGCATCCATTTAACAGGAAAAAAGAAATATGTACCGATGATTAAGTAGCCCATCCTATCGAAAGAACACAAATCCCAAAAGCAACCATCAACTGTCATGGCTTCTCAATCAAATAGATGTTAATAATAAGTTACAACATATATGGGTGAGGAAAACTGATATGGTCCTCGACACATAGGTCAAAATCTCTAACAAGAATCTGAGGCAGCATAACCATCCTTCACCTCTCAAAAAGCATAACCATTTCGCAGTGCGGCGTGTGAGGGAACAGATCGACAGCCATTGCCCTCTTGGGGATAAAAGGTTCAGAGTTGGGCATCGACTTCGTCCTCTGCCGAGCAAGACCAGCGCTGCTCATAGATCGCCACCCTCGGTTGCCTTTGTTCTTCTCTTGTTTCTCAGATGTTGGGGTGCAAAGCTCAATCGCATTAGCGACTAGACTCTCAGGGTTGCAGGAAATGTACCTGTGATACAAGAAAAGAAAAACAAGCAGTGAATTTCACAACTGTAACAGACTAATCCATGACACTGTTGTATGTTTGTTTAAACTCTACACTAGGATCTGCCCCTGATCTTCAGAACGGAACCACCCGACATCACTAACTCAATTACAATTCAGTTCAGCATCAGCAAACACTTCACTGCATATGCTCCCAGTAACTTCTAGCTTAAAGAGAAGTAAGAAAATCTACTGTGTCCAACTAAGACAGTATGGTACAATGCAAGTATGTGAAATACGTACACTAGACGTCGAATACGTGGATGCGTCCTCAATGCCTTGATCACCTATAAAGATGCTCAGAATGTGAGTATGATCCACCATGAAGGTTAGTACCTTAGTAAGATGCAGAATATAAACTATAACATAGTGCAAGTAAATCCAGTAAATCATTGTGCTACCCCCACAAGTGCTTTGGTTTGCTAATAGGTTTTGCCTATACAAATGGGAAGATGTTTGGCAAATAATAAGGTTCAGTATTCAAATGATAATTAAGGAACAGGGTCAGAGCATATAGAGGATTGAACTAAGATAGCTGCCAGCCCTTTGATTAAATACAGGTGGCAAGCACCAGCTCATTACACTGTAACAGCAGGAAAATAACAACAAGCAGACTTTCAGGAATTCACTACAATCAATCATAAGAAGGCTGAAATTTACTTACAGTAGGGTGAAGGCCAACACGTGGAGGGTCTACAATAGCAACGACATTCTTAAACTGGCATGCATTAGCAGCAAGGACATTGTCGTTTGGATTGGAAGAACCATCCTGGCATGCCTTGCCTTGCTCCAAACAATTATCCGATGATGTCTCAATGGGTTTATCATTGATCAACGATGCTTCTCCACAATTCTGTTCACCAGAAGCCACATTGTATTCATCATGACTGCAATCAACCACTTTGTTCACCCCATCCACCTCCTCGTCGCTTGCACAGGTAGGATGATCAACTGACGTGTCCATAGGCTGCTGACCTTCACCATTGTCATTTCTCTGCTTTGAGCTATCTATATTTTCACCATCACAATTTGTGCAGTCAATCGTATTGCTTGTATCATTGATTTCAGGATTACTTTCAGAAGCTGCAGCCTGCTGCTGTGGTGAACCAAGATATTCTGTGAGAAGGGGCCCCATCACATCTTCGGCCTGTTTAATCCCAACACATGAGCTTAAATGAGATTATTTCAGTATGCAGATAGATCAGGAAGTCAATGGAACTGAACAGGATGACATTATGGTAGTTTTTAGAGGAAGACAAGATAGCAGTTAAGACTGAGACAATGTGGTATCAGTGTCATGTAGTGAATATGAGCCTTACCTTACCACAGACAAAGCGACAATTTTTTATCCCATTGATAAGAGCATTTCTGTGAGCATCTGAAACTGCTGATTCATTCATCTCAATCCCAACAACCTGGCAAAATTAGTAACTAGATTTGAGGAAGATTCTTCCAAAGAAACAGAGACCTCTAACAAGAATCTAAATGATTTAACAATGGTTCAAGCTGTAGCTGTGTGTTATACTAGATATAGACAACAAATTGTGTAAAAGAAATCACCATTCCAACACGATGTGCTAAGGTCAGGCCAATAGTTCCAGTCCCACAACACACATCAAAAAGTAATGTGTCTGAATTGAGATTAGCCCAATCACCAGCAAGGGTATACAATCTTTCCGCAGCAAGAGTATTAACCTGTGTAATTGTCTCATTAAAACATTTGTTTATAACCATAAAAGGCAATTAGCAATAACTTTCTGTTTCAGCTACTGACCTGGAAAAAAGCTGTTGGTGATATAGAGAACTTTAAGTTGCTTATGTGATCATGGATTCTTGTTTTATCTTCTGCTGTGCCATCCAACTGATCTCCCTTTGGTACCAATAGCGGGATCAGTGGGCAATCAGTAGGTGCAGCATTTGATATCCCTTTATGATCCTGCATGCATAAGTTGGTTCCATTATTCTTTAATTAATTATTTCATGTACAACATAGACAGCCAACTTTTCAACATAAACTGAAAGTAACATCACTAAGGGATTGTTTGATCTCAAGTTTTACCACAATTTTTGGAGCTTAACGACATAAAATCTGGTTTGGTTAGCAAAGATAAAGATCAAGATATTCAAAAAAAAAAAAAAAAAAAAACTAGCACATAGTATGAGTTCTATGACATATCAACTTTTGCTTTTTTCATGAATCAGTTTCCAATCTAAATTTTCTCCACTGCTGAACAAATCATCCAAACAGAATGCTCTGTAAACTTATCCAAAAGAATAGTAACTTAAAATCAGTTTTCCTGAAATCAAATGAAGCCTATTTTCTAAAAATGTTATTTCTAAATCAACATGGTCCAAATAGCCACTAAAAAACAAATGAATAATGAGCCCAGTGCCGCAGTGTTAGGCATGACTATATAAATTAGTATTATATAAAGACAAAAGTCCAGTTCAAAGCTACAAGCTTAGTGCTCCCAGCAAAATGTTAAACAAAATTCCTGACAACCATGACAAAGTAAGTCATTAACACCTATGGGCTATAGCTTTTACTGGACAGCACACAATACACTTTACAAGCAAAAAAAGAAATGAAGTTAATAAGAACAGCCACAAATCATAGTTCTGAAGAAGCTGGGAAAACTTACTTGTACTACAAAAGTTGTCAGTGGCAAGGGAGGTGAGCATGTTGCTGCTCCTTGTATCAGGGCAGCAGACAGCTTGTCAAACTCTTCTTTCATAAGAGCTTCATCAACACCTGTTGAACACACCTGAAATTACAGTCAAAGTTTGATAGGGTGTCAGCGGCCAGCCACTAGGAATGTTTAGGGTGTTTGGTTTGAGGAATCAAACCATACTAGATGAGGTGGTGCACCATGAGTTCATTCCTCATACTAGTATTAATTATTGGCTTGTGAGGAATGAGGTGATGATGGATCAACCTATTCCATTTCACAAACCAAATAAAAAGTGAGGAGTGAGGAGATAATGGACTAACTCATTCCTCAAACCAAACACACTATTTATGACTCATTGAGGTTGACACTACAAGTGAAGTTTTACTCTAAACAACCTGCACAATAAGCATGACTTCTGATATTTGTGATTCTGCATTCTGTGAAACAACAGCTTCAGATGGACATCTTCCCTCACGAACCTAAAACAATCCCAGTGTAAAAAAGTTAATTCTATAGTAGTCTTAGTTCTAAATCCCAGTATAAACATAAAATAGAAGTATCTAGCTATGGATTGAGAAGTTAGAGAGCATACTGTGAATTGGCGCCAAAACCCAGAGTTGTCAATCCTGCTCCACAAAGGGAAGCTTGATGATTGAAGAAAATCTTGGAACATCTGAGCATATTTGCAGGCAATTTCTGAGACATTTGGACAGTTCACAGGTTCCTCGACAGCAGTCACACCTTCCCTAGAATTATGTTGTACCAGTCATTATTAATGGAATTAAGAGCAGTGAAAAAAATGAGAAAGAGAAACCAACCTGAAATTTCCGAGCATAAATCCTACCGTCTTTTTGCCGTCTAAGGAATATCCTACAGAGAACTCACACTTGTTACGGTATCCATTAACAACTGGGGACTCCAAAATGCCTTCAAGCTTGCAAGGAAGACCACCTGGGTAATTGAACAGACCGTTACTTAGCTAAAAGGAGTAGAGTACAGAAGGCCATTACCAAGAGGCAAAGCACAAAAGGTCATTGCAAAGGCCATAATAAGTGCATCCTGTTAAGCTGAAAAAGCAAATTTTTCAGACCCCCCATGTTCAGAAGCCAGAACAATGAGAAGAGCATGTTCCAAATATTTGAGATAAATTACAGAGTGGTCGAAAACAGATTTATATATGTTTCAGGTAAGTGAAACATATTAGAATTTGTCTGCATTTGTAAAGAGTTGGATTGCATGCCACTTATGTTCACTTTTGACCAAAAGAAAAGGCATGTCTGACACACATTTTACACTCAGCAGTCAGCACCATGTCTCATATGTCTTTGCCTAGAGATTCTAACAGCTTGTCTGCTATTGATGTGAATCATTAAAGCATGGAAGGGTTAGTCTCCTGAATATCGAGCCAACTGCACCTTTTTCGAGCTTTTTTGAAAATTGGCATAACTTATTTATCATAGTCTCCTGAATTGTTTGAGACCCAACTTCATGCTGAGCTTAACGAGCCGAGCCGAAGTCGAAAGTTATTCAAAATTAAGTCATTTTCATTTTAAAAGAAAAATGAGTCCAATCGGAGGACTTTTGAAACGAGCCACCGAGCCAGCTCAACAAGCTTTTTGAGGCTTCCATGACCCGAGTCATTAGGGTCATGGAAGCCTCAAAAAATAGAAGCAGTGCTTACGTGGAAGAGTCTTCAACAGTAATATGTGCTATAATCATCTTAGGGTAGTGAAAATATATATATAACAAAAACATTGGACAAGAAGTTGTTCCATTGGCCTCTGTTTCAAAGGCGTCACCTAGGCGTCCAACCGGACACAGCTCACCTTGGGTGTCTAGTTAAGGCGTACCCAGCTCACCTTGGGTCGCCTTGTTGACTTTGAAACCATGCCATCAGCACATACACATATGGCATAACTATTTGCATTTGCTGATTAATACTTCTGTTTTGACTGGAGATTGCATTATTACTTATCAGCAATAATAAGTAAGAATTAGTAGCATGCATGTCCCTTAACACTAGATTTAACTCCTCCGTGGATGAAGATTGTTTCAGTTTACTCACAATCCCGCATGGCTTATATCAAAATATGCATTACATTTCAATCATTCTGCCAAAAAAAAGCCAACATAAAGCATGGCATACAATTATCTTCATCCATATATAGTTGTCTAAAAGAATCTGCACGGGGATCATAAGGGGCAGAGCTAGCGTTAAATATGGCTAGAGCTAAAACAAGCTATGAGTGCAATTGTATTTGATGAGCGGTGGTAAAAAGTACTAGTAAAGAAATCTTTTTGAAACACAAAGGAGAATATAAACTATATGACAATGATTGATGCTGGATCAACCCATCACCGTCCACACAAGAGCTTATCACAATTACTGAGAATACCATGTGAAATTGTAACACAATAAGCTTGGAAGGTTACCAATTTCCTTTGATTTAAAAACCCAATCAGGAAGGGGAATGGCAGGTGGGCAAGCTTTCCTAGCATTGCGAGTCTACAATAGATTAGAACAGTAAAAGAGAGATTAGCAATTTCTGTAAAACCATTGTTTATCAGTGTTTAGAACAGTACAAGGACATGAAATTGGCCTTACAAGTTTCTTCAGTATCTGTGCCATCGATTGTTTTTTGTGTTCTAGCTGATCAATGTAAGTCATATGGGCAAGGGGAGTAACTGCATCACGGGCACTTCTTTTACTTGATGAATCCGATTCAGGCGCAGGTGTTTCCTCTGCAGTAGTAGGACTACTGCCATTTTCTGTTGCTGTTCCAGTATTGGATACAGGTGCTTCAACATGCGCTTTTTATGGGACCTACGATTGGCATCTACTATCTTTATTTCCTTTCCACCAGAAGGGTTCTCCTTAAGGACCTAACCAATTCAAGAGGTAAAAGTCAATGTTCCTTGCCTTGCCTAGACACCCAAGCAAATAGACAATATGTAGAGAGGGACAATTACCTGAACAGCATTTGTTAGTTGTTCAACACTCTGAAAAGTCACAAAACCAACTGTCATTCCCTTCTTCTTCTTTGCTGTTGCAAACGAGATTTCCTGCAGCACCATCATTTGACTTGTAACAGTTAGGTTGGCAACTCAGCATAAACTAACAGGATTCGCGAATGCATATCCTTATTCCTTTTTGAAAGGAAAAGGGGGAAATTGGCTGCTTGAGACTCCGAATGTGTTGGTGTTGATATTTTAACTACACTTACCAATACGAATCACATATAAGCTGCCTAAAACACTCATACACCATGATTGGTGTTGATATTTTAACTACACGTACCAATACGAATCGCACTTAAGCTGCCTAAAACACTCATACACCATGATCGGTGTTGATATTTTAACTACAAGTACCAATACGAATCACACTTAATAAGATGCCTAAAACACTCATACACCATGATCACTTAGATGCCTCTGCTGGACAGAATCAGTATTGGTTCAGGCTTCAATGTATTAAGCAAACTTCTCGAGCACTGGCATTAAATTAAATAAGTTCTAGTTGTTGATGCTGCCGGGCAATGCGTAGTACTAGATTTAACAGTACGAGACACTGTCCAATAAAACCAAGAACAAGAAGGAACTGAGCACTAGTACTACTTGCCTGCTCCTGGAGGAAGGACTTGAGCCTATCAGCCGTCCACCCCCTGGAGAGCCCGACGAGGCACTTGTCGAGCGACTGCTCATCCACCGTGACCTCCTCCTCGGCCTCCTCCTGGGCCTCCGCGGCGACCTTGAGGAGCTTCTTGGCGTGGTCGGAGGTGGGGTCCCAGGTGCCGTCGGGCCGCGGGCGGAGCTCCTCCTCGGTGTGCGCGTAGCGGCAGGACTCCCCGTGGCTGCACCCTTCGGCGCCGGCGCCGGCGCCGCCGCGCCGGCGGAAGAAGGAGCACAGGCTCGTCTTCCACATCGGGTGCCGGGCGACGCCGCTGCCGGCCGCATCCTCAACGCTGCCGGTGGAGGCGGGGGCGGATGGAGCGTCTTCGGTGGACGCATCCAGCGAACCCTCCTCCCTCTTACGCTTCTCTCCGGCGAGTTCCGGCTGCTGCGGCGGAGGTGTCAGGACGTCCTCCATGGCGGCGGCGGGCGGCTGTGTGCGCGGATCGGAGGGTTGCAGTTGCAGCGTGCAACGAAAGAAATTGTCGTCTTGGGCCTTTTGTGATAATGGGCCGGTAGTTGTTCGTTTTCTCATCTGGGCCTTCTCTGTTCTGGGCCATCTGTTCTTCTCTCTCATCTGAGAAATGAAACAGATTTTCTAAATGTCAACCTAACAATTTTTCATTGGTTTAATATGTTCTTTCAGTTTTATAATTATTATTAAGACTACTAATACTTCATTATTTTTGTGTATTAGAGTTTAATTTGCAGCAAAGGCAGTGTCATCAGTTTTGTTTTGTCAGTAAAGGTGCAATGTTCAATTCAGTTCTTATACAAAAAAAACTTCAGTTCAGTTCTATGCTGAAAAAGAATCATATATATCTATCACTTGGGTATGGAACATCCCTCCATTTTTTTTAAGTATAGGCATATTAGGTTCTGGAATTGACCATCAATCAACTACTCTAACAATACATCATCAATTATTTCAAAATTTGTTTGTATTAGAAGATATGTGGAATGTGAATCTACTGAAATAACTTTCATGTACTAAACATGAATACTGTGAGGACGCTCTAATTAAATAAAATTAAAAAATTGTTACCACCTGATCAATCCTAGCTTAACCTAATTAACCTAGCCACCTTAGAGCTACACTATCCATGTTATCTACTACGCGCAGAAGTAGAATAGTTTGCACATGAGTAATACAGTCCACACCAAAGTTTTTATCACATAGATGATAGTTAGGTTGCAGCACAAGCCTTGCACACTCAGTTCACACCAAGATTCACATCGTAGCGGAACTGAAGAAGTTTACATAATATGATAGTTTTCACAAGATAAAATTTTATGGGCCATGCAACCACCCATGAGAGCAAGGCTAATAATACAGCCGGCTTAGTAATTGTAAGGTTCTTTACAGCCTTCTATTAGCCCACCCATATGGTAGTGGGCTCTTCACTGTTAATACATGGCCCACATGTCTCTCTCACATAGTTTCTTGGTTCTTGTGCCCAAACCGGCTGTAAGCTTACAGACCGCTTCTTCTCTCTCTCCTTCTTTCTCTCCTCCATCTCAGCATTTAGTCAGCTTACAGCCTATTATTATACTTGGTCTGAGCTAACCATCGAAGGTGGGGGCACGGAAATACTCATACACTAGCATTTACTCACACGCAACCACTATTTAATAATAGCACAGTAAGTAGGGGAGTACTACGCCGGGTTTATCCAAACTACCAAAATATGCACATGGCTTTAGCAAGGAAAGCAAGTTAAGTTGCATAAAAATGGTTGTGCATGAAGTAAAGTGAGCATAATTAAGTATACTCTCAAGTATGCATATATGAAGTCATATTAACACGTTATGACATTAACATGCATAACTTGTGACTAGTAGGTGCATTAACATAGCGCAATGACATATGACTATTGAAAGTGCAATCAAGCCCTAATTGTTGGTTTTGGTGATAATGAACGCTCAATTAGAGGACTAATGAGATTTATCAAGATGACAAACAGAGAATTTAGAATCGAGGATGTCATACAAAACGGAGGAGCCCCAATTACAAATGTTGACGGCTTCAAACTCAAAGCAGGTTCATATTCTTTTATATTTCAAATTTGAGTATAGGAAAAGCCGCACTATAAAGGGGGACACAATGCTTAAGCCAACTTATGCTACCAAGTGCTCAATCTTACACTCAAGCATCCTCAAAAGTTCAGCCATGACAGCTTGCTCATCACTCTTTTATCTCTACTGTCAGGCTTGGTGCGACAGTGCAGCACTTGAGGCGTGGCTATGCTGCAGAGCGGCACTGCCGTGGGTAAGACATGGCACTGCCGTGACTTATCTGATAGTTGGGACCTTGCGATTAGATAGCAGATCAACTGATTCTCTAACTCAAAAGAGCACTTGGTTCATGTTTTGGTCAGCGGTTGTGTTTTTTACTCTTGGAGCTTGCTCCTAGCCGGCTAGAGCATCATCCGTGGAGCTTGCTAACGTGTATGGCAGTCCCGGGAGGTTTATAACCATCTCTTGAAGGTAGTAAACTCACCCATCACCTCAAGAGTTAACCCTCTTGACTTGAGAACGAGAAAGGGTTGCAAAGCCCTAAGCCTTAGTGGCTAACCTCAATAATGTGGACTTAGGCAAGCCTTGGTGGCGAGCTAAACCACGAGATAAATCCTTGTATCACCTTGTGCTTGATTTACTTCACTTGCATTTCAAATTATTGTTGAGTTGATTTCTAGGGTTTGTGGCCGATCTACTTGTGTATGTTGTTCCTACCATTTCTAGCTGTTGATCTGTAAACTACATATCTGCAGGAGCCTCAGTAATTTCTCTTATCTAAGTTTCCATACTCAGATTTTGAATTGTGTCTCGAAGTTGTCTACAGGTGCGGTAGTGCCGCTGTTCTGGCCCGGCAGTGTCGCAGAGCAGCAGTGCCATGGGCGCAGAGCGGCAGTGCCATGGGGTGGAATTTAATATTTGCTTAAGTTTGTTTTAACAGGCCTATTCATCCTCCTCTAGGTTAACCAGAGATCCTACAAGTGGTATCAGAGCAGGTTACCTCGTGTACGCTTCACTACGTGAGGTATAGAGCCCGAAGAAGGATCCAGTGGTGTGAAGCCCATAGATGTCGATCCGGAGGACACGAGCTTGCACGAGCTCAGTGCCTCTATAGTGAGCAACACCACGCTCCCATAGTTAGAGGCTACCGATGTCAAGAAAACTCTAAATGAAGAAGAAAGAAAGAAAAGAAAGGCAACAAGAAAAGCAAAATGAGAAGCAAGAGAAAAAAAGAAGAAGGAGAAGCAAAGGTTAAAAGACAAGAAGCAAAGAAAAGAAGAAAGAAAGCTCAAGAGAGAAGCAAGAAGAAAAAGAAGAGAAGCTAGGAAGAAGAAGGCAACCAATGCATCGTTAAGTGACATTTCAAGTAGTTCCAAAGATGGAGATGATGATGAGTCCTACCAAGTGTCCAAAGGAGGCAAGGAGAAGAAGAAAGGAAAGGGCAAAGCGGACTCCAACAACAAATATGCCGCCGTATCCTTTAACTATTCTTCTATACCTATGACTAACCATGATCGAAGGTCTTTCATCAATGTACCCGCTGACAAGTTACCTCATTTTGATGGGACTAACTTTGCCAAGTGGAAGCACTTGATAAGAGCCTATCTTATAGGTCTTCACCCTAGCATTTGGGAGGTAGTTTGCAATAGATTTGAGCCATCGGTTGATCCCAAGAATCCAACACTAGATGAAATAAGAATTATTCATCTAAATGGTCAAGCCACAAGTGTGTTGCTTAGTGCTTTGGATGGTGATGAATACAATTGAGTGATTGGTGTTGATGTTGTCAAGCAAATATAGGACACTTTATACCTTGCACATGAAGGGGTTGACAAAGTGATGAAGGCAAGAATTGATTTGTTGATGGCCAAGCTCAACCAGTTTGTGATCTTAGATGGAGAAGGGCCACAAGAGATGTTTGATAGGTTGATGACCATGGTGGACAAGATTAGAGGCTATGGTGGTGATGAGCTAGATGATCACAAGGTAGTGAAGATTATGTTGGAAGCTTATTCACCTAGAAATAAGACCTTTGTCACTCTAATTAGAGACAAGAAAAAGTTTGAGTACTTCACACCAAATGATGTACTTAGGAGGATCTTGACCTTTGACGTGCAAAGAGAAACATCAAATGAGAGGAAGAAGCTTGGTGAGTTGCAAGCAAAATTAGATGGCATAAAAATCAAGGGTGTAGCTCTCAAGGCCAACAAATCAAGCAAGCAAGGCTCTACTAGCAAGTCCAAGATCAAAGATCAACAAGCAAGCCTAAAGCAAGCAAGCAAGTCCAAGAGCAAGTAGAGACTACATCATCCTCAAGTGAAGATGAAAAAGATGATGAACATTATGAGAAGGTTGATGATGTTGCTCTCTTTATGAAGAGATTTTAAAAAGGTCTAAAGAAGCAAGGATACAAGGTAGTGAAGAGAAAGTTTCCAAACAAAAAGAAGAGGACATGCTACAATTGTGGTAGCACCGATCATTTCATTGCCAAGTGTCCATATGAGATCAAAGACAACAAGTACAAGAAGGACAAGACAGAGGACAAGACCGACCATAGAAAAAGAAAAGAAGTACATGGGATAAGCTCACATTGGGCATGAATGGGACTCAACTAAAGAGAGCACAAGTGAAGAGGATGAGAAAGTTGTAATCATTGCTATCCACAAGTCATCCCTTACACCAAGACTCTTCAACAACATGTTCGATGATGACTACTACTCCCCTCACATTTGTCTCATGGCAAATGATAAGAAGGTAAAATCAAAAGCCAAACCAAACCTCCTAGTGATATTTCTAGTAGTGATATTAGTGATAGCTCTAGTGACGATAGATCAAGTGATGAAGAAATTGACCAAATAACTAAAAACTTGGATGGAAAGACCAAATTATTCATCACTAAGTTAATGGAGGATTTAGAGAGTTCCAATCCGAGCTAGAATCTAGAGAGGAAACTCTTATCCAACAAGAGAATCTCTACATTGCTAGCAAGGAAGCTCTTGAATTAAAGAGAAGTGAGGTGGAATCCTTGTGTAAGGCTTTGGCCAAAAGAGTAATAGGACCATGCTATCACAAAGAAAGCAAATAATGCTCTCAAGAAAAAGTATTGTGACTTAGATGAAAAGCACAAAGAACTTGAGCTACAATATAGCATTCTTTGAGATAGCAACTCACATCCCTCTAAGGCAAAGGAAACCTCTACTCCCCCCACTAGTCAAGGTTGTGGAAAATGTTATAATCTTGATTTGAATGTTTATTCCACTAACCTTGCCAATATGGAGGCTATGAGAAAGGATATTGCTAGGCTCAATGAGATCATTGAAAAAGGGTGCATGGATGGCAAGGCCCAAACCAATGACAAGAAGAAGGATGAACCAAAAGGGCCACAATACAAGAAAGGAAGGT